AAGAAAGAAACGAAACACGAATTAGTCATATAATAATAATAATTTATCACTTCACAATTCATATAGAACACTGAAGTTCCGTTAACAATCTTTAATTTCACTTACACTTTCACATACAAACCCAGAAGCCATAATCAACTAACAAATTACACAAGCAGCATTCATCAAACTTTTGATTTTAAGTACATAAACACTTCAGATATTAATAATAATAACTATAACATTAATTACAAAAAAAAATAAAAAATTCAGTTCAACCTCCGGCAATTTTTTCTAATTTCTCCCTGAGACCCAACAAGCGGCCTAATGCTCCCCAATTTCAGCATAGAACTCGCAAAATGGTGAAAAAACAGAGCCTCATCCTCTGCAAACATCCTCACAAGCTCTGTAGTTTGACCCGTGAGCAAAACCTGGTCCGAGTTTAAAAGCCCTTTGCCCCACAACAAGAGTTTAAAGTAGCTGTTGTCGAATTTCACAGGGGACGTGAAATCGAGAGGCGAGATGTTGTTATCGCCACCGATTTTCGGGCAAACGGATTTGAGACCGTTATAGTAGTTTTTCTCGAGTGTGATGTCCTTATTTTGGCTGTACAGTCTCTGCCTAAATGTCACACATCTCGCCATTCCTATCGTGTGTCCTCCTGCAAGCCGCATGCAAAATCGCAACATAATTTACCAGAAACTATTATGAGAAAAGAAAAATGAAAAAAAAAATGGTGAATATAATTTTTTTTACCCGAAAGAGCAACGAGATCTAGTTCGTCAAGGCCTTGGCGCATGAACATGTTAGTGAGTGTTTGGATGGTTGAATTTGGTGCTGGAATGTCAGTGTTTGATTTGGTGAGGCTTGCTGTTGTTGAGTCCCTTCTTCCTAATGGAACCTCCCAATGAGGTCCTCCACTCTATGATACAACAATATGCATGTGTAAATATATATACACTTCACATTATTTAATATTTTACTTAATTTTAGGAAAGAGATAATTACATACAAGTACAATGGAATCTCTGGCAGCAAGAGAAAGAATGTCGGCACATGAAACAGTGTGTGGGCAAACTTGTTCGAGTTTGGCTTTGATTTCATCGATAACTTCGAATCCTCTCAACGAGTTTTTGTTGGGTCCCGCATTTTTCTCGCTCACTATATTCGTCTTGTCGTCGTCTAGAAGTACAGATGCATCACAGCCCTATATAGTTACAAGTAAAGTATGACATTTCACAGCATCAGTATGCATTTTTTATTACTTGTTTTTTTTTTTCTTATAAAAGAATAACGGGTCGACCTGTTTAACAAGTAATTAGTACCTGGACAAAGCAGTCGTGAAAGTGGAGCCTGAGCAAGGAAGCAGCCATTCTAGGATCTTCAGCAATGGCGTTTTCCAACACAGACATTATAATCTCATTAGCCTGAGGACATGAATACAGGTAGAAATCAGGGGTGAGGCCCGAATAACCACCGCCAGCCTGGCCCGAACCCGGAAAGGCTTTCGAAAAAGAGCAACACATGAGAGTTAGTGCCATGATGAGGCTGTAAATGAGATTAGCAGAAGCCATTTGTTATTCGTTAATTTGTAATGTTCAAGAAGTGCTAATTTTTGGAATTTTGTTTTGATTATTATTTGTTGTTATGTGAAAATTTTTTATTCAGCGTTGCAGGATTTATATTGAGATCGTTTGGAGGGCGATCAACTGCTCTACTATGTAATGTACCAAATCCTCTTGTGACCGATACAAAATTTGTCTATTCTTGGGACATTTGATTGTGTGACATTGTCAACATGATGACATTGGAAGTTCAATTTTGAAGTTTGGGGAAATTAAAAGTGTTTATGGTTTTAGTTTCAACTGCTCCAATAGCAATGTCACCCATGTTGTTTTATTTATTAATCAGTCCTCGGGCTGAGAAAATGGATGCAAACACTGGTGATTTTGAAAGAAATTGTATTTTTTGATCTATCAAATCTTGGTCAATCAAATAATATGTGTCCTCCCATTTTATTCGGGATTCTAGGCGGTCGTCAGACCTGTCCTCCCATTTTATTCAGCTTTTAGCTGCTCTTTCTTCTCCCGTTGGGAGCCTTGTAGTTTTATTTACACTTTTGTGCGTTTTAAATTATAATAGTTCTTCT